TGCGTGCATATGAAGCCGAAAACTTGCAAGAAAGAAAAAAAAAAATCCTTCACTGCGGCCTGCGACGATGCTTCCACGGCCGCGGCGAACAAAATATTTTGCGCCCATTTTTACTCGCCGCGGCCCGCGACTCTTCCTTCACCGCGGCCGCGGCGAACAAAAGCGGTCCCAGAAGTCCGAACTTCAAAGCAGAAAGTCCCGCGGCCTCGGGAGTTGGTCACGGCCGCGGAGCTTATTGCCGCGGCCTGCGAGATGCTCCGCGGCCCGCGGAGGCCGCGACGTGCAGAAAATTAATAGCAGTTTTTGGACTCATTTTTCATTATGTTCTAAGCTAGGTTTTGGTTCTAATTAACCCAGGAGATCAAAGAATTCAAACCAATTAGCCCGTTGAATGTCATATATAAGCTGACAACTAAAGTGTTGGCTAATCGGCTTAAGCCTCTGCTATATGATATGATAGGACGCACAGTCAAGCTTCATACTAGGACGTCTGATTTCAGATAATATTGTGGTAACCCAAGAGTTGATTCACACTATGCGAAGGAAGAAAGGTAAGATGGGATTTATGGTGGTGAAAGTCGACCTAGAGAAAGCGTATGACTTCTTAAGGTGGGACTTTGTGGTCAATACCCTACAACTGGCAGGCTTTACCGAGAATATACCACGGGGCGTATTGACGTGTCTTATCTCGGCCCTGATGCGGGTTCATCTCAATGGAGACGCTAGTGGCATATTTCGGCCCTCAAGAGGAATACGCCAGGAAGATCCAATGTCCCCGTATTTGTTTATGCTATGTATGGAGAGACTGGCGCATCTAGTTCAACTGGAAGTCAGGATGGGCCGGTGGCGTCCAATATCAGTTGGCAAAAGAGTTGTACATGTGCCTTTTTTGATGTTTGCCGGCGACTTACTTTTATTTTCAGAAGCGACGGAGGACCAGACGGATATGATTAAGGGAGTGTTGGAGAATTTCTGTCACACGTCCGGGTTAAAAGTAAGTGCTTCGAAGACGAATATATTTTTCTCGATCAATGTCGGGACTGAAAGACGGGAGAGAATTAATAGAAGGCTAGAATTCTCGAAGGTTAATGATCTGGGCAGATATCTAGGGGTTCCTCTTATCCATCGCAAGATTACCAAACAAACGTTCGGGAGAATTCTAGATAAAGCAGAAGGACGTCAGATAGGTCGAAAAATATGCATGTTTTATATATTTAATAGTGTATTTTTATATGCTTAATTTATTCGCGCGTTTGTATTTTTCGACTTATTTATTATTTGGATGGATTTATTTGCTTTGATTATTTTATATGCATTTCAACGTATTGGAGTATTTTGTGTATGTGAAACAACGGACGAGAGTACGTGTGATAATCAGGCCTTCGACATCAGCCCATTTTAGGCCTATATGTTCGTTGTAAAGTTTAGGCCCAATTAAGAGAAAAGAAGACCCACATGCATCAATTTTTGGACTTGTAGGATTTAAATTTGTGGGAGTAAATTATTCATGAGGTCTCAGGAAAGGAATGAACGGGAATTTGGGCCCAAAACATAGTCACATGGAGAGAAAGATTTGACCAATAAAAAAAATTGATTGGTTGAAAAGTCCAACTTGTTTAGGATTTATTGGAGGAAATTGAATTAGCTAGGATATATAATGGGCAATGCTATATGTACACCCCTTTTTAATAAATTACACAAAGGGCAATGCTATATGTACACCCATTTTTTACACACAGGGGGGTGTACATATAGACACCCCCTATATAATTGGCAACACTCATACACGCACGGGAGGACTCACACAGCGGAAAGGAGACGCATAGAGCATCACACAGACAGAGACGCACAAACTGAGAAAGAGTTACACACGCAGAGGGAAGCCGCACTCGCACACGAGGGAGATATTTATCTTCTCTCTTTTATCTTTTATTTATTTTATTAGTATGTTAGAGTAGGATTTTTATCCGGTTTGAGAAGATGTTTGAACTCTAACTTTGATTTGTCTATGAATTTAAGGACTTGAATCTATCGATGATTAATCGAGATGTCGTATTTGATTTTGTTGATGAGTTGATTCGTGTTATATATTTATAATGTTTATGAATTATGGGTGTTTGATTTAGTTCGTCCGGCTACGTTGAATATTCATAGTTTAAATGCTAGAGATGACGCTTTAATCCGTTATTGTTATTGTTCTCCTTTCGTTAGTAGTAAACTAGGGGTCGTGCATCCTTAGAGTAACATGAGCATAAGTTAAATGGTCCGAGCTTACGCGTTCGTTGCTTAGACTAATCTATTCTTTTAGTAATTAATGCTGCTAGTGCACTAAATCTAGAGAGTTTATTCTAGGTTGTCCACTAGTTAGGTTTAGTCGAAGAGCTTGTTTCGATTAATCAGTAAGGGAAAATTCGGTTAACAGAGCTTGTTGTTAGCTAGGGTTGGTAATTCGTTAGCAACTTAAAGAAGACGTCTAAATTGATTAATGATAGATTTAGATTGGGTGATAACTGAACCGAAAACTGAACTTCTCTTATTTTATTTTATTTTGTTATTTTTTTTTTTTATAAAATCAATCCCCCACTTTTTATCGTTTTCTTAGTTAAATTCAATTAATACGAGAATCTTACAATTTAGTTCCTGCTCCTCGTGGGATCGACCTTTACTCACCGCTACTACTAGTTAGTAGAGGTTTGTTAAGGAAACTTTATAAATTTAAATTTGCCACGTCGCAACGCGCGGTCAACGTCTCGCGAGCTGGAAAGCGGAGTCGTTATCTATGGCCGACTGGGTGACGATAGTCCAGTCGGTAGTCAGTTGCTTTCCCTTCTATACCATGCAAACGATTTCTTTACCTTATTTTGTTTGTGACGAGCTGGAAAAGAAGTGTTGAAGGTTTGTCTGGGGAGGCACTGAGTCCACACGAAAGGTAAGCCTAGTCGATTGGAGTTCTTTATGACAGCCCAAATACAATGGGGGACTGGGCTTGAGGAATCAAAAGTTGATGAACGAGGCACTGTTAATGAAGTTGGGATGGAATTTCTTGAAGAATAGGGATGCGCTGTGGGTTAAACTCCTGAAGGCGAAGTACAATCTCAACCCGATCGGGATGACCGAAAACTTCGAGTTTAAATGAGGCTCAATCATCCTTCAAGCGATAGGGTGTAGCGACATGTATACCGTGGGGTGAGATGGTCCCTGGGCGATGGCCGACGAGTGCTATTCTGGTGAATCGTTGGCTAAACTGTCCGGAGACATTAATTAGCATTGCGACAGCTTCGCTACCAGAGGAAATGTTATATGCTACAGTGGCCGAGTTTGTCGATGAGATGGGATAATGGAAATGGGATCTCTTCTCGCACCTAATACCAGCCAAGGCTCATCTGCGCTTCGCCGCCATCCTACCACCGTTTGCGCACGCTGGAGAGGACAACATGTATTGGGCCTATTCCCAATATGGCAAATTTACTACAAAATCACTCTATGAGAACCTACTCAGCCCGGGGAATTCCAATCGGGGTCGACTATGGAAAATAATCTGGACCTGGAACGGCCCGCAAAGAGTTCAAAATTTTTTGTGGCTGGTCGGGAAGACGAGATTGCTCACGAATGTAGAATGATACTGGCGACATTTATCAAATGATAATAGATGCAGTATATGCATCACCGAGGCTGAAACCCTGATCCACATTTCGCGAGATTGCCCGGCGGCCTCCGTAGTGTGGAGAAGTCTACTTCCACGGGACAAATGGGTGGATTTTTGCTCGATGGACTTGGAGGAATGGTTGATTGTCCATTTGACAAACGCGTGAAATTTTGAGGTGGCCGACTGAGAGCTGATTTTTGGACTAACATTGTGGAGAATTTGGCTCGCTTGTAATCGACGTATCTTCCAGGGTGAACCTTTGTGCGCGGCGAGAATATTTTGATATTTGGAAGGGAATCGTCTCCATAGCGGTGATGGGTGAACGGAAGCTGGGGGGTCTTGGGGTTGGTAGAGAACGGGAGTATATTCGTTGGACCCCTCCACCCGAGGGATGCATCAAAGTGAACTAGGATGGGTCTTTTAACCCATCATCGGGCATGACTAGTGCGGATGGCTTGTTACGTGACTTTTGGGGACGATGGATTAAGGGCTTCATCATGAACATAGGCTTTTGCTCAATCACGAGAGCTGAACTTTGGTGAATCTACCACGACCATAACGTAGCATGGAAGTTGGGACATCGACGATTGATAGCGGATGTAGATCGCCTATGTGCATTTTCAATGATTCAAAGCGGCCGTGAGGAGCGTGGGATCCATAGTTTACTGACAAGGTCCATAAGTGAATTATTGACGAGGCCATGTGAGGTGAAAATGGTTCACGAATACCGTGAAGCAAATTTTGTAGCCGACTGCCTGGCCAGAGTTGCCATACGAAGCCCAACAGGTTTTCAGCTATTAGATGAGCCGCCGGGGAAGCACAACAATTGCTACATCATGATATTCTCAGAGTCGCATACCCACGAAATGTTCTAATATCTAGCATCTAGACCTTTGCCTCTCTTCCTTGTACACACCCAAAAAAAAAAAAAAGAGAGATCCGCCTACGTAAAATTAACTTTAGGCATGGGCACAACTTTTTGTAGGAACTTCGCTACAGAAGAATTCAAGAAATTGTCTAATTATCCACAATCGGCAGCTGAAAAAAAA